CACACTGGGTTACCTGGTCCACCAAGCCACACAGTCTGACGTGGAGAGAGATCAGAAGATATATCTGTATCCTCATCACATATCCAGTACTTCATTGTGTCTGAGATGTGGGCCACATGTAGCTCCGTGCTACTAACTACATTCTGGTGAGCTGGGCAGACAAATGCAGGCTCTGGGGAAGTGTCTGCATGTGGTGAGTGTTGCGTAGACCTGCTTTGACCGCATCAAACACCTCGGACTTGATAGCCTTGCAGTGTCTGACTAAATTTTCACCACTTATCTTTCTGATATCAACGTTTACACAGATGGCAAAGAATGAGAAGTTGTCAATTAATGTCACTGAGCCAAGCCTGCCACGCTTTGTGAACGTGATAGAATTACGTGAGATATAGTTGACTGGTGTTTCGGTGTTGTCACGTTTTCGTTGGCTTTTTGATTTCCCAGCCAGCCTGTGTCTGCAGGTGGCACACACTGCAGCAGAAGACACCAGGAGGAGCCCAGCCAGTGGGGAACCACACCACCAGTGGCGATATTATTCCTGAAGCGGTGGTGAGACAGTCTATTATTTGAGATTCTCCGGTGCAATTCAGAATTGCTGGAAAAAAGTATTTGGTTTTTGACAATTTTGAAACAATGAGCAGCTTTTCAAGTAGAGTTATAAAGTGGTTTGCGGTGAATATTCCATTCACATAGTGCTTTTTAAACTCCTTCAGAAACTCGACAGTAAGAATTCCTTTGTCTCTAAATGCCTTGCAGCCACTTGTTGCTACGTCCATAGCTTTTTCTGGTGCTTTCTCGGCCACTTTCAAGCAATACTGTTTTTCAACAAGAGACGACAACTTATCCAAAGGCACCTGAGCGTCAGTGAATATTAAATCAGGGAGAATCTTTTTCTTGTACAGAAAAATGTTCAGTTTGTCAAGAAAGGATAGTGCAGCTTCAAGCTCTCCTTCAGTAAACCCCAGAATATTTGAGACGTGGGCACATTCTTCTTTGGTGAGGACCTTTCTGTTCAATTTTTCTGCCAAGGCTTCAAGAATTCTCTGGAGAATAAACCACCAGATTGGTATCTTGTGGTAGGTGGCAACTTTGTGGACGCTCGTTCTAATCTTGCCGGCCTCTTTTTTATCTTCGTCATTTGGGGTTTTCGTATTCATCTGGAATAAAACATCATTCATACTTTCATTGCAATAAACCACGTCATCGTCAAAATGTGGTGATGCAATTTTTTTCAATATATCATCTTTATCTCCTGGTTTTTCACCACATTCGTCAAGTAAGTCCTTGTGAGTTCCAACAACAATTATCTTTGAACGATTTTCCTCTTTGTCTAGTCCTTGAAGCATTGTCTTGAAGGCCTGTGCAGTGGTGAGTCTAGCTCTCTGTTCATCGCCAACTCTCTTCCCACTCTGGTAGAGATCATTGAGAGGATGTTCATCAAGTTTCTCACACAGTCGGTGGACAAAGAGTGTGGCCGAGGTGTCACGCATGAAGATTGGAGCAAGATCCCAGTAGGCTTGCTGGCCTCCACAGTCTGTTAGGTAGATCATCTCCATGTCGAGTAGACGACGTGATGTCTTGCCACTTCCCACTAGCTTTGTAAGTCTCTGAATCACATCATCAATGACTTCTCTTCTACTCTTTGCACTATTATCACTCTTGTCTTTAGCCATACCCTGATCAGTACTATGTTGAGCAAAGTTGTCAAACTCACTCATGCCTTCTCCGACCATTCCCTCTATCTCGTGTTCTTCAACCGGTTCACTCTCCATAGCTACTTCAATTCCTCCTTTACTCACCTCTTCTTTCCATCTTATCTTCTTCTTCTGGATGTTCTGTTGTGGCCGTAAGCTCACTATAGAGAATAGGAACTGCTTCTGCAATCATCTTCATGAACTCTTCAGTAGATATTTCGCTCCACTCCTCTCCTTCTTTGCCTATACGTATCACTCGTATTGATCGTTCAGCACAGCCGGTGCTGTGTCTCTTGTCTGGTGGGTCTTTACCAAGGAGGAGGTAGATGAGGCAGGTTTTACCAACACCTGCAGGACCCACTACTATCACCTTCACCAGCTTCACCTCCACATAGCCTTTCTTCATTGCCTCCTCGAGAAATATGGAAAACGATTCTGTGTTAATGAAGCAAAACGCTGCATCATGACTACCCAACCCGAAACAAACCATCCTTTTATGATTGAGCCACGTAGCTATACATAGGTGTGAGTTAGTATTCACGGCTTGTATGTACTAATAAGCGACTACAGCGTCGATCCAAAAAGGCTCATAGAAACGTAGTGATTGCGCATCAAAATGCATGTCAAACCTAGGGTTAGTTTGACAAATTGTAGGAAGTTACAGCAAACCTAGACAAAGATTATCATGCAGAAATGATCTCTACCTTTGGAACTGATGAGATGGGCTTAGTCAGGCGTTCTGCGATTGGAGTTTTACATGAGATTTGATCTGTATGCTATCACTACATAATGTTACATACCTTCAACTTCTTCATGGCTGGCGTCCTCTGACTCCCTGAGTAATGATGTGTCCTCTGGAATAAAGGAGGGACCTTTACATGAGATTTGATCTGTATGCTATCACTACATAATGTTACATACCTTCAACTTCTTCATGGCTGGCGTCCTCTGACTCCCTGAGTAATGATGTGTCCTCTGGAATAAAGTAGGGACTAGCTTCACCTATAGACAAAGAAGGTGCTGTAATGCTTCATACCTACACATGCATGAGACAGGGAGGGACATTAAGAGTCATTGTTTTACTACTAGGACTTCCCTGAAGTGCCACCCTGGGAATGTGATTAAGAAAATTTGCCCCGCCAAAACTGTCAACTTACTAGGGACGGCCTTCTCCATGGATGACAAGTATGAAGATATCTCGACATGGCCCTTTCTCTGAGCCAATTCTCCAGGAGTCGTTCCACTCTTGTCCTTGACGCCAGGATTGCAATGGTAATCTTCAACAAGTAACTTCACTACTGGCAGGTGACCATTACTGGAAGCAATGTGGAGTGGAAGAATGCCATCCTTAGCCTGACACGAGGAGTCAACGTTCTTCTCTTCTATCAAATATTTCACTGTGTCCAGTCTGCCACCCTTACATGCACAGTGAAGAGGAGTCCAACCATTCCTACCTCTACACATTGGATCACAGCCTCTTTCATTGATCAGGTACTTCACTGTATCTAACCTACCTCCCAGTGCAGCAGCATGGATTGGAAGGCTTCCTAACGTACTTCTAACACTATCATCACAACGTTGTTCTTCAATGAGGTATTTCACCACCTCCAGTGGTGCATGCTGAGCTGCTACATGAAGTGGAGTGCCACCATTCCCATTTTGACATGAGGAATTGACGTCCTTCTCCTCTATCAAATACTTCACCATGTCCAGTCTGCCACTCTCACATGCACAGTGAAGAGGAGTCCAACCATTCCTACCTCTACACATTGGATCACAGCCTCCTTCATTGATCAGGTACTTCACTGTACCTAATCTACCTCCCACTGCAGCAAGATGAAGAGGAGTGCTTCCAAACTTATTCCTACACTCTGTGTGGCAGTTTCTTTCTTCCACTAAATACCTTACAATGTCTAAACGACCAAATGCAGAAGCAAAGTGAAGGGGAGACAATTTTGCTTCATCTTCACAAGAATGTGGATCAACATGTCTTTCCTCAACCAGATACTTCACTTGACTAAGATAACCATTTCTACTGGCTTGTAGTAGAGCAGATGAACCTTGAATGTGTAGGTATATAGCATAACAATTACGCATATATTATACAGAAGCAGTAAAGTGCAAACCCTCGGTGCACTAGACCGTGTGTCAGTGTAGTAATTTGTTTAATTTTACATGTAGCTAAGTAAAGCATAACTGGAATGAGTCCATCTTCAAGCAAGACGCGACAGAGTGAGTAGCTATTATTATAGCGCCATAAAAGTAGCGACATCAGAAAAATAGCACCATAAAAGTAGTGACAGTGCCAAAATAGCCAAACGAAAACAGCGTCTGCTGCAAAAAATAAGGTGCACTCATGAAAATAACAGCCTTGAAAAATGGCCCAGAATTATGACACTGATCTCCCTTCATAAAAAAAACCATTGTAAACAATGAACAACGAGTCATTGCAATACCCATATTCATGTGTGGGTCAGTACATGGGTTTATGATGGGCTGGGCCACGCTGTCGATTCATGCATGGTTTCTCGCTAGCTCGCTGAGAGTCTGTCAAGGCTATGTATGTAGACAGCTGCTTATTGCGGGACTCGATACTCGCCCTCCGTTGTTGTAACCCCTGATGGCTCCACAGTGCACAACATCTAAAAGTCGAGGTAAGCCACGTGTATTTGCATTGGTTATCACGCCATAACTTTTGAAGGCAGTGTTTTTACAAAAATCGCCAGCTACATAAAATCAAGCCAGTGTAGCGCCAAACCTATTGGCAAAGCTTTTTGGCAGTTTCGTTGTGCCTAGTGGCAGAAAATGTGGTAACAGATACACACAGACACCAAGCAGGGGGGTCGGACAAGGTTTCAGGCATATAGGGCGCTTACGCCACTACCTACCTTCCTCGTCTCATATGCCGCATGCTTAGTATAATGTACATATATAGACTTGAGTACATTGCAAAGAGAAGACCTATTTTGACACTGCTAGCAAACCTATCGCGTGGAAGAGAGGTGGAACCATCATCTCAGACCTCGCTTTTACTTTTCCTAGCGGCGTGGAGACATCCACTAGAGAATAAGGGTGAGTGGTTTCAACCAAAAGACCTTGCTACTAAGTTATGTAGCCTCCAGTGAGTACAGGGCGTAATCGGATGCTCAAGCCACAACTTACCACGCTGTTTACTCCACATTGCAAGCCTCCGATCTGCTGGGGGATAGCGTTTTGGAAGAAAGATGATGACCTTGGTTCAAACGTTGCTTTCGGGAAAACAAAGCAAGGTACTGGTGAAATAATGGCGATGAAAGGGTAGCAACGTAATTTTTCTATCCATAGGAATCATCGAAAACACGAGATAATGCCTCCCTGGAGTCAACGAACAGAATTTATAAACGAGAAAATGTATGAGATTGACTTTCTGACAATAACATACCGCACGTGATCATGTCCGACCCACCCCTGCAGACCAAGTACTGTAACCCCTCGTTGCACATGCACACCGACGGTTAATTACATAAATCCCAGCAAAATGAATTAAAGTGCAAACCCTCGGCAAACTGCGCACGCGCGGTACCACTAATTGATAGGCTTGGCTTTTAGTATGCGTTTACTCGTGGTCTCCACGCTAGTAGCTCGCGGAGAGTCTGACATGGACTAGCTACAGTAGTAGATAGCACGCGGGAATCGATACACGCCCTTCGTTGTGACTTCCTGTGCCTTCAAGATACACAGAACAAGCGGACCCGGTCGAGGTAAGCCTGTGCTAATTTGCATATTGGCATGTTCACTTGGTTTTCACACCATAACTTCTGAACTCGGCACTTTTACGAAAATCGCCATTTTAAAAATAAAGCCAGTGTGTGTAGCGCTGAACCCGTTGGTGTCGCTATTTTACCTGTTTGTTGCGCGTGGTGGCAGAAAACGTGGTAACAGATGGACAGTACAGACAGTACAGACGGACAGACCAAGTACTGTAACCCTCGCTGCGCATGCGCGCCGAGGGTAAACTATCGACAACCAACCAGACCTAACCAGGGACCTAACCATACCTGACACTGTCTGCTGCACAGTAGGTTGGAATGGGAGGGATGTCTTTGAGCCTCTCCCTCCACGACTAAGCAGAAACTTCCTCATTTTGTTTGTCTGTGCACAGTCAAGAGGAGTGAATCCGTCTTCATCTTTACATGAAGGGTCCATTCCCTTGTCATCTATCAAATACTTGACCACCTCAATGTGACCTCCCTTGGCAGCGACATGGAGTGGAGTGGTCCCGCCTGCTCCCCTAACAGCTAGTCCTTCCTTGTCTCTCTCCATCAGAAACTTGATCACCTCGATGTGGCCGGCCTCGTAGGCGACTCCGAGCGGCGTGCGACCTGACTCGTCACTGGCGAAAGGGTCGGCATTCTTCCTCGAGACCAGGTCAACGACAGCGGCCACGTCACCAGACGCACAGGCCTGTATCAGTAGCAGAGTAAGAGACAGCGCTGCAGCACGTCGTCCCACGGCTGAATGTGCGGGAGAACCGCCGCTCTCGCCTGGTCCATCCCACAGCTCGTCTCTGGCCCGTTTGTTTACAAGCTTACTCAGCACAAACAACGCAAACTGCGCATGCGCGTTATGCAGTGTACGTGTGGCGGCTGGCAGTCAGTTGACGACGACCAGCTGATGATCTCCCTTTTCTCTTGAAGTAGGACAAGCAATAAAGATATCAGTCGTAATATTCATCTGTGATAAACATGGTGAGTGAAAGACAATCGTATTCCAAAGCCAGTACAACCGCTGGTGTTGTATTCCAATTGAAGCCCACCTTTATGTCCTCTCTCAGGTCTTACTAGCGGCAGCCGTGTGCACGAAGCAGGGCAAAGGTAAACATCAGTATATCTGTATAGTTGACTGCTTTGGTACAGTAGTACTTGGTTCACCGTATGTAGGTTTATAGCTATCTACATGAGTGTGTATAAATTCACTGCTTCAGTACACACTTCTCCCTGGTTTCCCAGCTCTTCTGTCGCGTCAGTTTGTGGAGATGACGAGGGCGAGAGTGGAGGGGCTCCTGGGAGCCTTCCCCAAGCTGATAGGCTCGGGGAAGCAGCACACGTTTGTGGAGACGGAGAGTGTCCGCTACGTCTACCAGCCTCTGGAGAGACTGTACATGTTGCTGGTGACCACCAAGACCTCCAACATCCTGGAGGACCTCGAAACGCTCCGTCTCTTCTCTAGAATGGTCCGTGTCTCTCTGGCACTGTTTGCTCTCATAGGCAGTACAGTGGAACCTCTGAACAAGGGACACCATGGGACCAATGATTGATCCCTTGTAGGGAGATCGTTCATCCCTATATCGGAGGTCAATTAAATAATATGCTGAAGTATAAGCATGGAGATGAAAAAGTGTCCCTGTAGGAGAGGTCGTTCTTATCTCGGAGGGTCCCTTATCAGAGGTTCCACTGTACTCCCTATGCCACTCCTTATACGCAATTGTCCCTCCATGACTTCTTACCTGACTTATTAACCTCTCTCCTTTCCTTCATTGTGTATGTGTGTTGTCGTCTTTATTTCTTTTTTCTCCCCTATCTTGTCTCTATCTCATCTCACCTCTATCATACTCTATTGTATTTCTCTTTCTTGGCATGCATAGCATGCTCTCCTTTTATCTGTCTTTATTCTACTTTCATTTCTATTCCCAATTCACATCCTCACACCTTCACAGAGATGGGGAAGAAGAGTCCCAAACTCTAGGCGGAGAAGGAGTGGGCAATATTGGTCCGGAGCCCAGGGTTCTCCCCCCTGTCCCATCGCCCTACCCGGAGGAGGTGGCAGGAGTGAAGGAGGCTCTGTACACAGCCTGGGTCCCGAGTCCCTGGACTCTGGGGCTCCTGTCTCGCCAGACACCTGTGGACCAGTCTCACCTCACCTGCCCCGGGACTGGTGGCAGACATCAAGATGGTCAGAACTTATCGTTTTAGTTTAAGGGAAAGTGTGGTTCAAACTCCCTTCTCTGTAACTCCTTTCATTGCCTGCTGCCCTGTTGTCTTCATCTCCGAATGCATCAAGTAGCGTGTGTGCACTTGTTAGAAATGAACTGCATGCCGTGTGTTCTTGATGCAGTACACATGAGTTACGTGTAAAACGTGTTTACCTCTGCTCTCTCTCTCCCTCCCCTCAGCACGATCCAATAGCAGAGTTGCTGGCAGCCCATTTTCCCGCAGAGTCCCGCAAGACTCTGCCGTCAATGGAGAGTGTTGCCATGGACATGGCCGGCCTCCGCAGACTCGTGGTCAGTTGTGTACATCTCAGTTTATAACAAAATGTACAGAACGGTCAGAGGATCGAGTGTGTTGAATTTAAGTGCTTACGAATGCATTTAGCAGGAATGAAAGTAGACCTACACTTTCGAACACCAACTTTTGAGTTGTACATACTTCGTGTGTTCACATGTAGGTCAAAACTTTTCAAATTTTGAAAAAAGTGTTTTCTGGTGTTTTTACATTACATGTAATGTACCTGCCCTTGCTTTGCTTCATGACCTTGTTTTCGACAAGCATCTGTAATTCAGTAGTCTTTGTTTTCAGTCGCAGAAAACACACACAGTCTCTCTTCTCTTCCCTACCACAGAGAGAGGGATGCTACCACGCAGCACTGGAGCTAACTGGGAGGTTCCTGTCGGCTCACGGTCAGGGCCTCGGTCAGGCCGGCCAGCCCAGTCTCCACACACACAAGACCCTACAGGTACTCCTCTCCTGGACACGTAATGCACACATGATGTGCTGCTGGAGTGGGTCAGGTTTCGTAGTGCAAAGACTAGGATCAATTGACCTGCAGCTAAAGAAAGTGCACCTCTCGCACTTTTCTATGCATATTACGATGAGAGTTTTGCCTGCCAATTGTCTGAATTGCACCTTTTTTCTGTCCATACTGAAATGATTTACTCACTTTCTTCACCATTTAGTGAGTATGATGTGTGGTATATACATAGGTGTTAGTGATATGTGTGATATGTGATACAGGTGAACTCTAGTGGTACAATGTACATGTATAAAGCTGTCCTAGTGAGGCTGTGTGTTGTACTGTGCAGATGTGGGGAGCGAGACTGGCTCTCCTGGTGGTGATGCAGCAGTTCAGGGAGGCCGAGGTCGAGATGGAGGCATTTGGCGAACTGGTGAACCCTGACCTCTTCTACCAGTACCACACCCACAACTACCCCGACAAGACCGGTCAGTTCAACGCACTGAGCTGCAGTAGCTGTCATCTTCTGTGTACTGCTTCATGTAGTTGCTTGTGTGCTTTGTGAACTAAATTCCTTACCGAGTGAAACTCCAGGTTCCTCTGCCATAGGTTCTGCCCATTGCTCTGGGTGGCCAAAGTGCTATGGCTGCCACACGAGTATTTTTTCAATTCGTAGTACATCCTTCTCTTCCCATACTGCTAAGTTTGTGAGCAAGTGTGTGTAGTTTACACGTGTTCTCCTTCCCTAATTCCTCCCTCCCTCACTCTTTGTCTTTGTGTCTCCCACACCCTCAGGTAGCATGGTGCCATTCTCAATGAGACTGCTCCACGCTCAGCTGCCAGTTCTGACTGGAAACCATCAGCTCTCCCTGGACAGACTGTGCCAGCTACAACACACCTGTCACCAGGTCAGCCCCATAATAATATTACAAAAGAGTAGAGTGGGCAGGTGATCGGCTAAATAGTGGTACTGTAAGAGTTAACATACACGACATGACTTTCACCATTCATTGAAATTTCATGAGACTTTTCACCAGCAAATTGTGTGTGTGTTATCTGCATGTTGCAAGATGCGAGAGTAGAAGATTGTCAGTACATTAGTCTTGTGTGTGGCTACGAAACTGAGAATTTCTTGCTCAACTAGCACGTGTTGTGTGTGCAGGTGCTGTCAGAGGTGAGGAGAGGCTACCTACCTTTTGTAACTGAGCCTCTCACTCCAGAGGACCAACAAGGTATGTATATATACTAGTGTATGCAGGATATGCTGAATGTGAAACTGAAGGTACTGAATAACTACAGTTGCAGAGACTCTGTGGATGGAGAGACTCACCAGAGTAAAGTTCTGTCTGGCTAACACACTGGTAGCCATGCAGGTAAGTACTTTTCACACGCAACATGAAGGGAATATGACTTTCGAGGGTTGCCATCTGAAAAGGTAGAAATTGATGGGATTGAGCAAAATTTAGTGTTTCTGCCTTGTGCCAACAGGAAGGTGGCATTACATAAGGCCAGAAGTATCAATAGGGCCCAGTGCAGTAAGTTTGTGAATTCAGCCTTTATGTATACAACTGCCACACTCCAGTGAAGACTGAAGAGTATATACAGTGTCTCTCTCCCTTGTTTGTACAGGACTACCTGTTGGCAGTAGAGGTGTATGAGGGTCTGTTAGAGGAGCTGCCAGGGCTGAGGAGCCAGCTGCTGTCGGTGATGGGGCGGCTTCACCTGACTCTGGGTGACCTGCCTTCTGCCCAGACCCTCTTCTCCCTCGCTGAGGACAGAGACGAGAAGGAGGAGGGGGAGGAGGAGAGGATGGTCAGGACTCACATCAACCAGTGAGGACTCACTACACACATGCTGTATAGCTACACAAGCGATTGCTCCTTTGTAGTGAAGACACTTGACTGAGATAAACTGCCAAATATATAGAGTTATTCCCTTGTTGGTGGCACATGAAACAGAAACGATGGAAACCAACTGAACTGGGTCTTAAGTTGCTGTGTGAGCCTGAATCTATTGCCTCTATAGGCTTGTGGCTAAGATACATGGCACATCGTATCCAACAGTTGTTATGTCAACCTTTACGGTGTTCTATTGCTGTAGTCTTTCATCTCCCTCTCTCATTTTCCTCCAAACAGAGGACTGGTGAACGTGTTTCTGTGTCACTGGCAACTGGCAAAGGACTCTTTCGAGAGTGCACTCCAATTGGAGCCCACCAACACGACTCTGAAGAACAACATTGCTGTGTGTACCTTCTACCAGGGATACCTCAAGGAGGTCAGTGTCTCCCCACATATAGTAGCACATAACAATGGTGTTATTACTGGAGTCCAAGTAATAAGGCACTACCAACTTATGGTAGTAAAGTGATGGCAGCGACAGCATTCAGTAGCCAAACGATGTTTCAGTCCATGAGCCTTCTTCAGCTTGATAGACTGTCCACACACCAAAATGTCATAGACATGAAGCTTGGCTACTGAATGCTAAGTTAGCACAGAACATAACAATCAATGATTGAAGTGTGTCGTCACCTCTCCCTTCCCGCAGTGTATCAGAGAGTTGGAGGGAGTGGTGAGATGGAGTCCTCCCTCCTCCCTCCAGCCTGCCCTCCTCACCAACCTCACGGCGACCTACGACCTCGAGTCTAGCTCCGCCCACTCCAAGAAACTCTCCTTCCTCCCTCTCTTGGGACAACATGTGGGGGAGGGGTTTCCCCTCTCCTCTCTCGGTCTTAGATGAGACTGGACATGCATTAATGTGTGTGTGTTTGTTTGGGCATGTGCAGATCATTCGCATAATGTTGATTCTGTCAGACTCGTGTTTACAATAATATATAGAATAAAAATGCTCTTGTTCTTAGATGATAGCAAGACAGACACGTTTAGTTGGTAGGGCAGCTACATAAATTATGTGACTTGAATAGTGTGTCCTTTTCATTGATCACTCATCCGCCGATCTATTCTTGGATTTGAAGGTTCTGCCTCCCTTCTTCGTTTCATTCCTCTCTCAGCTCGTGGTGGGGAAGCTGAGGGAAAAATTCTATACTGAATTTTGATACTCTGGAATTGTATCTCCATATATATACCTGTGTCCATTGGAGTGACTGTCTCGTTTACTTCCAATTGTTCTGGCCTCGAGACCTACACAGTTGGGAAACAAGTGATATAATTGTGCTGTAAAACAACACTGTAGTTCCTACCATCTCTCCACCTACCATCTCTCCATGGGATGATGCTTGATGCTTTACGTCTCTGTTTTGATGGACGAGTGCGCCCTGTGGGTGGCCGAGAGACACTGCCGGCACATCTTTTTCTTTGGAGAACTGTTGGTCTTGAGCAGTACCTCTCTCTGATACATTCATCACCTGTGTCACTAGAATGTGTGTGGGAAAAGGTAAAGTAAAAAAGGTAAAGTAAACATTAATCATCATACTGTTAACTAGACCTCTTTCATTTGAAAAATCCATATTCTCAGTTTTGTACTCAGTCTAGCCATAATCTAATCCACAACACACATTGCACAACTCTGCTCTTGATAGCTACATGTTGCATGAGAGCGACTAAGAATTATGATACGAGTAACTTAAAATCCCTCCGCAGTGCCCTGAATGGACTAAACCTGGTCGAGCTAAGCTGGTGCTGATTATGAAAGTACAGAGTACGCACTGAAGAGCGAAAAACCACATATAATTTATTCTCCAGTATTTCCTTTACACTCTTTGTCCTTAGAGGGTAAAGGGTAGGTTTATGTTATACCCATACATTTGAGATTTGTACGTTTTATTTTCAGTGTTGCCATTGCATGTTCAAGGGCCAACCAGAAGTATCACGTCTATGAGTGTACTGCAAGTCGAAAATTTCCCCAATTACAGTATGTGCAGCACCTTTACACGCGCATGCATTAGCTCCTCTAAAACACAATATGCACAGAGAGTAAATGTAGTCACATACGTACAAATATGCACCTTCATGCATGTCTTTGACGAATCTCCTTGGAAAGTGCACGGTTATTTCCTCCAGCAGGATGACCCACTGCTTTGGCCAGCAGCTCCCATGATGGCTCTCCAAATCTCCCAGTGTCGTAGTTTTTATTCAGCCACAGAGTCAGGGCCTCAGTTAGACACTCGTCAAGACTTCTGTTCTCTTTCTCTATCACATCCAGTCGAGTAGGACTCAGTCTGAGAGCCAGTCCAAGAGATCTCCACCTGGCAGTCACTGGTTCACACGCACTCTTAACATCAAACAAGTCATCAATTCCTGTAGACCAAGTGAAGTGAAGCGCTGGGTATATGCAGCACTACATACCTAAAGTCTGTGTCACTACTGGAACATTTCTTGTTGAACTGGAACTGCCTTGACTCATAGAATCTGCAGAAAGGGACAACTGTGACCTAAATCTGCCAATATCCAGAGCAATACCTCGATTTGACTGCTCCCGCATTGCTTTGATAGAAGGGGAGGGGTTAGCTAAAGGGAGAGAGAATGCAGA